AATAAGTTTATTGCTTCCTTGTAGTCTTTATATGTTTTATTTTGCATCCCTCGCGGTCTATTTTCATTTATCAACAATTGTCTTTTATAAAGAGCTACATTATACGCATTTTCTATATCCGGTGTTCAGTACGGCTTTAGATACTGTTTGAGTTGACGTTTTGGAATTGCTTCATCTGACGAAAGCAACATACATAACGATAGTTGTGCAGATAACGCGTCTACTCCAAGTTGTGTGGACATATCAAAATCCTGAACTTTACTGATTGTTTCCGTCAGAGCTAACTGGTACGCGAATAAATGGTCTTCACTTGCTTACTCGAACTCGTGGTGTCCAGATCAATAGTTTGAGGGATACATGGTATTTGACGAATCCGAGGTTCGACCGACAACGATTATTTTATTATGTGACGACAGACAGTACGAGCACTGCAGATATCGCAGAAAGTAGATGATAGAAGTGAAAAAGATACTAAATAAACATTTTAATAAGATATAAAATAGCTGAACAATAAAAAAAAAATCGTTTTTAAGAAAGGGAAACAAAAATGAAAAATCTGCATGTGTAACGTACTTGTCGCTTTGACATAGTCCGCCATACTGTAATCGGCTACGTTAATTTTACAAAATATCAAAATGAGAGGATTTCTTCATTCATTGTAAAACAAATTAAATTCTGAATCCCTGTTGTCGTTATACTGATTGTATGTTCATAGTCATTCATCTATTAAGCGTCAAACAACCTTATATATTTTTCCTACAACTTTTTTAGGCATTTGTTTCTTATATCTGTGGAAAAAATGTTATGACAAGCAAGCGGGAAATACAAGCAACTTTAAAAGAGTGCTTATTAAGATAGTTTAGGGTTTTTCCGAAATATGACGTCAGGTATTTGCCTCCTACGTAATACTTATAAAATTATTTATAAATATACACTTCCAAACTTCTCCATACCAAGCCCTAAATACGCTCGTAGTAAATGATTAACCAGTAACTCATAAGACCTACTTTGGGAAAATATTGTAATAATTAGGCCACACAAAAGCAGCTTCGGCATTAAACTGATTTCGGTTACCGGTCATGTATTTATCAAATTTTAAAAAAAGGACAAATATTCTATTAACATCCAATGGCAGCATACCTATCTTCCTTGTTTTAAACAAACTAAATCTAGAAATGTTTAAAAGGTACATTTATGATTTATCATATACTTGTTCGTCATATGTTTTTTCACCGCATCTACGATACTTCAAGCTTTAAATAGGCCATATCCCGGACCAACTCATATCTGCCTGGCACGCGCCAAATCCACCCAGCACGCGCCATATCCGTTTAACTTCCGGTTACACACTTTTTGGAAATTCACACCTCAAACTAGTAGTGTAAAAACTGCATTTTATCTGTATTCGCTATGTTTTTCATTATGTTTATGCAAGGTAGAAAGGGATATTATTGAGACATGAAACACGTGTTTTATTTGTTATTGCATGATTTTGATGTGATAGAGCAGTTTGTTATAAAAAGGTTGTCATATGACCATTTCCACATCGTATGACCCTCGACCCATATCAACCCCTCGGGCTAATAAGGGAGTCTCTGGTTGATACTGAATAAGATATGGAATTAATCATACGACAACCTTTAAATATTATCATAAGTTTCTACTCTAACAATAGATAATTTAACGTATCAAGAAGACCAATGGAAACGAGACATCACATGACCAATATCTTCATGTGCAAAGAAAATCATTTACGTGTTGTATTATCCTGGAAATTTCGCTTTCTAGGCGCTGAAGTAGACACGAAATGACATTTTATCCTATTTTAATGTGGTAGAATAGATATAATAAACATAATATGCTTGTAGATTTAAATTGGAATATATAACTCCGGATTCGACAATGATTGGGTAATGTGAGCGACCTCCTTTAATATCTTTTCCCGTTTTCTCACGCCTTCGTTATATATTCCATCCTACATACTACATGCAAATATGTTAAATGTGACTTTACATTTTACAACTTTTATTTTATGTTAATTTAGTGCCTTTCGCATGTAGCTTACAATGATTTCTTATGTGTACTTATAGATGTGTGATTGATAACGTTGATATGTATTTTTCAGTACTTATGTTACGTTGACATAACTGTCCATATGTGCTGCATACTTGAAGAAATTAGTTATTAAATATGTTTGCAATAAACAGGTTCTTTTGAAAATACTTTATAATCCATGTTCCAAATGATACATGTAGAGAATGAAGAAATATAAACCAAGTTCATATCATGCATTCATAAAATACTCTAGAAAGATGTACTATGTAGTATTATGGTATCAACAGGGCTAATATATTCAGTTGACGAGAATATACCGAAGTGTAAAACTAGGGCAAACGTGAACAAACGAAAGATTTACATGGAAACCCTGGAAAAAGTGTTAGGAGCATAAGACCAGGTGTACCAGAAGGGAACTCGTCTTCTGCTTCATCGACCACACCCGCCACGTAAATCCAAGTCATGTCAAGTTCCCACATCGAGAACTCTGTTATGTTTAAATAATGGCAGTTGTTAATTGCATAATTGAAGTTCTCTATTTGTAGGCTGTATTAACATAAAGACTTTCATCGATCCTACCTAATTATTTGTGTTCTATCTTGTACAGAGTGTCTAGTAATATACAATTACTATCCTAGAGACGCACGTTAATGAGGACAACTCTGTATAATTGACCAGCGTCGCCTGTGACCTCACGTTTGTGTACAATATAAGGTCTTGTAATGGTACAAAACTAAATCATTCACGGAAAACCGGGAAACTGACTGCAACCTGAACATTTTCAAAAGTACTGGCGTCTAATCGAAGTACCACACGACTACTGAAAATGAGGTTTGTGAATATTTTCTTTAAGACATATTTCTCAAAGGATATCCTTGAAATAAGATATATAATAGATTGAATTGTATCGGTATATGTTCATTATTATTTTACTAACGTTTGTATTATAAAGTTTGGCAATATCAACTTGAAAATCAGCTAAATATTAAAATGCAAACAATGTTTAATTCTGATTTCTTGATTGTAAAATTCATCAATTGTTTCAAGATTTATTATTCTTATGATGACATCAAGGTGAAATAAAATATTTGTTATTATGATTATTTAAATTGACCATTACTCGAAACTGAAGAGCATACTACTGCCATGCAATGTCTTACCTTACTTGAAAAGCATCATGTCGGTTTGCAAAATAATGACACGAGAAGACGTTTTCTTGAATAAAGGAATTTGCAATGTCAATAACACAATTTGAATAGAATATAGCTATAGTCAAAAAGGTAGAAATACAAACTGGTTTAAACTTTTGTTGAAGTAGAAGAGCACTTGCATGAAACCTTTATGATATGAATGTTAAAACATTGATGAGTACTGGTAAAGTTAAAATCAATAATAAGTGTGTATATTATGAATCATGCCAATACTCACAAGATATTAATGGGACCATCAAGGTAACAGCAAAAAAATACCTTCATTGTTGGGTTCGAAAAAAACCCAAAAAAACTACATATGTATTTTGAAATAAAAATTGATCCTTTAAGATATAAAGACATTTTAGGAAATGTATAAATGTTATTTAAAATGTTAAAAATTCTTTCACCATAATAAGTAAAACGGAAAAAAGTAACAGCCTGTCCATTATGGATGTATCATTTATGATAGAAGGGCTACTGTCAAAAATTTGTTTTCGCGTTTGCATTATTTATTTGCAGTTGCCATATATGTTATTTATAATAATATATTCTGATTGTTTTATTTTGGTTATTAAGATTGCTGCTCGCCTAGACAAAAGTTAATTGACTTCGTGATGGTTAATATATTCAAGCCACACTATTCCTAACTAAGACCATCAGGCCTAGTACGGATGTTTCGTAATGAATATCAGGCTGATACAGAGTAGGATATGGAAATGGTCATATTGTAACCTCTAATGGTCGTTTGAAATAATGAATATGGAAATTGTTTTTTACTCTGTCCTCTAATCTGGGGCTACAAGAGAACTCCAAAACTATCTGATTTCCCTAATTGCAACACTTGATATTACTGTTTCTTTTTCTTTTCATAGTTCGATTGTTTTAGCGTTGGAATTTTAGAACTTTCTGGTGAGCTTGTTGTCAGTAAAATGTAAACGATGCTATTTAGTGTCTACTAATCGGAGAGACCGAAAACCAATATATAAATGACCTTAGCTGTTAATAAGACGTTAAACAAATAAAACCAAACCAAATAACATATGGAAAAATTGTAACGTTTCACACTTTAAAGTAAAATAATGACAACGACGTTGTTTTTGTTATTTCCACGATGTAGAGTTTGTCGCGATTTTGCGATTTTCGTCACTTTGCTACATTTAAGAGATAAAACCATACCTTTGCTTCTTTTAAGATTAACCTTTTTGATAGATTTCAGTACGACAAAGAATATTCCAACTTTGTTCAAAGCTGTTCATTAGCAAAACAAGTTCAGTCGCTTTGGATTGCAGTACCAGCCCTCCTACAAAAAGGACTGTAAAACTGTCATTAACCAAACATTACCATGCTGATAATAACCCTGTATGTTTAATACAAAATCTTTGATATCATACGTTTTGTACATCCCTACATTGTTTCTTTAAATATCATTTTCATAAAACATTTTAATATTTATTTCGCTAAAACACGAGCTTCCCTTGCAGTTTGCCGTACTCCAACAAAAGGATTGTCAACAAAGTGTCGAGACAATCACCATCAAATTCTTCAAAGAGCTTATTTACAATTACTTCAGGGGCACTTTCGAGTTTACGAGGTGACACTGCAGTCATACAGTCGGAAATACCTTCGGAGAGCTGCTGTGGATTGGTCAATGTCGATTTCTTATCGAAGAAAGGACAACGCTGTCAGCTAGCAAAAATTCTCTTGTTCACCCTGGTTCCTATTGTTAGTCTTAGTGTCATTACTTGTTTGAGTATGATAAACTCTATCCCTGACTACGATACCAAGAACGCGATACGGCAAGGTATCTACATAAGTATTGAAATAGGGAACGTGGTACATCATATCCAGATAGAAAGAGGGACAAGTGTTTTATATCTCAGTGCATATTCAGATCCAAGAATATTCGAAAAGCTACAGAAGAACTACCGCAAATCAAACGCTGCCATTGAGAACCTGAAAGTGTGGCCAGTGTATTCAAAAGAGGATCCAGAATATTTCAAATCTAAAAATGCGTATTTCTCAAGAATTCAAGAATATCGTCAATTGGTCGTCGCAAACAACGTCACTCGCAAGGAAGTAATTAAGTTCTATTCTGATATCATCGCCTCTATTATACGCTGCTTAGCCAAATGTGCGAGTTTGTCAATGTCGGGTGAGCTCTGGAGGACAATGGTTGCGTATCACATGCTTCTCCTAGCAACGGATGCGGTCGGGGTCGAGAGGGCACTCGGAAGCTCTTTTTACGCGGAAGGTAGGTAGCAAGCTCGCCAAATAAGGTGTACATGACATTTATAGATTATCACACTGTGTTAACATGATTTTTGTGAGATTATTTTTCTCATCGCGAGCACGTGGATACAATAGAGAGGCCATCCTGAAAAACTGTTTACCATCTCTAAACAACCGTCTTATATATTGTCTCTATTCGAAAAGGTTAACTAAATTCAATGTCTTTCACCCGACTTCTCGGCCTAATGATCACCGTCTTTGAGAGTCGTAAACAATTAAGTTTACGCGGAGGAATACAATCAACCTTAAAAAAGTGTAGAACGATATGTTTAAACACTATTATTGTTGTCATTGGCTACCCAATACGTTCTTTTACACTTAAAATGATGATGTTAACCTAACAATATGTTTTTCATATTATCTAATGATATGTTAATCACGGACAATTGTCTTAGGCTGAACACCGTTGTTAGGACAAAAATAACCTACAGAATTCGAAGATTTGTTACATCTGTTCATTGTAATATTGCATTCTATCAACTGCATAAAATATTGATACAAATCTGTTTGTTGGCCAAATATCGTTGGGATTCCTCATATGTGTAATCCTTGTGAATTTCATGTGTATGTATTTTTTATACTTTACATATGATATTTTTTTTATTCTACACGTGTATAATTCTTGTGATTTCTCACGTTCACGTGTGTAATTCCTGTAATTCTTCACATTCAGGTGAGTAATTCTGTTTCAAGTGTGTAATTCTTGTTAATCTTCGTATTAACATGATTAATTCTTGTGATTCTTCAAGTATGTAGTACTTTACATATGATATTTTTTTATTCCTCACATGTATAATTATTGTAATTCCTCACGTTCACGTGTGCAATTCCTGTTATTCTTCACATTGGTTTGAGTAATACATTGTGATTCTCCGTATGTATAATTCTTGTGATATTTTGTGAATCTTCTTATTAAAATGTTTAAGTCTTGTGATTCTTCATGTTTGATTATTGTGACTCCTCACGTTCACGTGTGCAATTCCTGTTATTCTTCACATTGGTATGAGTAATTCTTGTGATTCTCCGTATGTATAATTCTTGTGATGTTTTGTGAATCTTCGTATTAAAATGTTTAAGTCTTGTGATTCTTTATGTTTGATTTTTGTGACTTCTCACGTTCACGTGTGCAATTCCTGTTATTCTTCACATTTGTATGAGTAATTCTTGTGATTTTCCGTATGTATAATTCTTGTGATGTTTTGTGAATCTTCGTATTAAAATGTTTAAGTCTTGTGATTCTTCATGTTTGATTATTGTGACTTCTCACGTTCACGTGTGCAATTCCTGTTATTCTTCGGATTCATGCGAGTAATTCTGTTTCAAGTATGCAATTCTTGTGATTCTGCATATTAACATCAGTAATTCTTGTGATTCCCCACGTTCACGTTCTGTAATTCTTCATTTTCATGAGAGAAATTCTTGTGATTCTTTTAGTGTGCTATCTTTATTGTTCCTCGTATGTGTGATTCTTGTGATTCTTCAAGTGTGTTATTTTTATTATTCCTCGTTTGTGTAATCCTTGTTTTTATTTTATTTTGAACGAAGACAGAAGAAATATAACATTTATACTTACACATTTATTTTGCTACTTACTCTTTCTTACTTAGGAAATACCTCTCAAACTGATCTGGCCTGGTATATCAAAATGAACATGGCAGCAAACACCTACCTGAACATCTGCTCTCAGTATTCTAAGCCGATGGCGAAATTGCTCTCGGACAGACTCAGTGAGTCTAAACTGGGTGGACTTTTGGATGGTAGGCGATGGCAGATTATTAGCAACATTTCGACTGTTCTACATACACCATCAGCAGTACTTGCTTTGAAGTGGTTTGACAACAGGACTGTGTTCGTTGATATACTGCAGGGAATCCAGGATACCAGCGGAAAGGTAATTACAACGATATCACGACTCTTTGTTCAACCCTTTCACCACTGTAAACCATAATGGACTCATCCATATCAATGCATAGTAGAGTATACATAAGTTACATAGGGGTGAAAGGGTTAAATAATTTGTCTTCAACCAGAAGGTGTAGAATTTGGGTCAGGACCGAGGCTTCAGGTTCTTACCCGAGTTATTCACCCTTGGGTAAAATATCCCTATCCAACATACCTACATAATGATAGACTCTTTTCCACAATTTTTAAACCGAAATTTTGATAAAACATTGCATAGACAATGCTCATGCAAACACAAAATATAGTAATATTGCTAGATAAGATATGCACAAACTACGACCTTATTTGGAAACAGCAGAAAAAGTACTGTGCATCTCAAATATCAAGATCCATGCAAGACTTTCAGTGCAAACTTGTCCAACAATTCTTATGTTCTTAAGCTGGTATCACCTGCAGACGGCAAAATTGCCTAGTAATTCAAACGACATATTGAAGTGCTAATCAAATGTGAAGGATGTATTTCAACTGCCTCTCATTGAGGATTGTTTGGATACGGTGACAGGAAATATTCTCTTCTCGAAATTGGACGCAAATTATGCCTACTAGCAAGTAAACAATTGCAACGGAGGCGACAACACAGGTCACTGAATACACGTATATTCACATGGGTGTTCCGCACTGGACACGTGTATCTTTCATATGTAGAGGGAGGTGGAATACATTTATACCTTAATATAAGCACTACCTGAGGTGCAAGGAATGACCGTCTTCAGTTTCTTATATTTCTTATCATTTTAGTATTTTTATTGAATCCTTTTTTGTTCAAATTTCAGAAACATAACGATTGGATTATAAACTGAAACATAGTTATCTAACATGACCACTGGTGAAAAGAATGAATGTTTTTCATGCTTCAGATTAAATGTTTCCGACTTACCGAAATGTCACCCTTCGAAAATAAATGTCAAATACGCGTAGATAGTTAAAATGTCCGAAAATAATAAGAGTAAAGAAAACTTTCATTAATGCTCAATTGTAGTACTTTTATAAATTATATTCTCCTGATGACGTCCTTAAGTTATGTAAGTAAATAAACAACAATAATTGTGCCATTAAAAAAGAGGTCTCAAATGAAGATAAAAGGCAGATAAGTATGTGAAAGATGGTAAATATTCATATTTTCCTTTTTTTAATCTTACGTACGTGATCCATCGAGTCGTTTTCAGGTTACTATCCCCTAATCAAATCTGCCAATTGAAACAAGAATGAGATCTGAAAACTGTAACACCAAAATTTAGCAAAGTGACATCATTGTCCCCGTCTACGACATCGTTTTGGCCGCCATTGTTATTCCGTTGATTCGCTTGATTCGTAGTTTAACGTATGCGTGCACGGTTGTGTGTAATCTCGAGGCATGGTATGTTGGTTTATATGCATATTTGCGATAACATGGATCTGATACCTACTTTAGAGTGCTACCTCATTGAAATACCTTGCCGGAGGCACCCAACAAAATATTCCAACCGGCCACATAATACTGAAAACAAGTGGCCAGTTGCTGCCTTTGCACTAAATGATAAACATTAAGCAGGGAATTACATTACCATTATTAAGGACTTTTGGGTATGTACCGGCATGGGGGCAGAACCAATTGCCTGTCTCACTTTAGCACACGTTCAACACCAATGCCAAAAGTGAGGGAAACAAAACTTTTATTAGGAAGTAGAGAGAAAATATATAGATCAAAAATGGCAATAGGGACAAAAGATCATTATCGATTTCTTTCATGTCTCCCTTAGCAAAAGACTAGGATGTAAACCCCGATTTTACAGGGGTCCCACAGTAGACGCCTTTAATGACATGCAGTGGAATACGGCAGGCTATTATTTCCATAAAATCTGCAGGGGAGCGGAATTTAACGTTTTCGCAAAAGCCGAAGTCGTATAAAGGCGGGTTCCTAGTGAGAGAGTGCCGGAAAGAGATAGTAGGGAGGAAATATAGGGAAACGAAACAAATATCTTAATATTTGCAATCGGGGTCACATATCAATCTTGTTTTTTGCGATGTCCTCTGAGATGAAGACATGAAAGAAAACCCCGATTGTGTAGAGAACCACATTAGTCGCCTCTTACAATACAAATCTCGGTTTCTCGATGACTCACAAGCAGAAGACACGAACGGGGTAACGTTGGTAAATGTTTCGCAGGAAACATATAATACATTTAAAAAATATTAATAGGTATGTAATTGAAGAAATATAACACAAAAACTTTCATCTGACATCGTAGATTACCTTCGTAAAATATATCTATATGTGCAATGAAATCATGTGACTTGAGACGTCACAAATGCATGTTTTTGATTTTGATAGTATCCTATGTATGTCGTTAAATAAATATGTTTTATATCCTAAACAGGGCATTTTAGCTGATCTTGAAACAGACCTGGATGAAATCAGCACCAAACACAACTTCAGCATAGTGCTGGTCGTAGGCGCCATCATTCTGTATCCAACGATTCTGATGGTTGTATTCAAATTGACCAAACAGATCCAGGCTGTAGCCGTGTCCATGAAGGTCAGTTTAAAGGATATCTGTCTCACTGTAGGCAAACATTAGATTATCCCTCTGTGGTTTTTCGTTGAAGCATATGGCAGTTGCAGGCAAACATCATAAGATTCGCTTTAATGTTCTGTTTTCTTGCAAAATTTTCGGTCATTAAGACATTAGATGCAATATCTACACAGGGCACCGCTAATATTTACAATATTTGGAATAATTTTATGCATGTACCATAGAGAGTAAAACCTGTTAATTAAAATTTCCTGCATGTTAAAGTTATAGGTTGTCGCAGTGGGATGGGGATCTTTAAATATTCACTACACCTTTAATAGGTATATTGTTTCAGCATAACGATCCATTTTTTAGAATATATATTTTCTCGATTGTTTTGCCAGCGTCACATTTTAAATCTTATTGTTATAAGTAGTTCTCCTCATAAGTATGGGTGTTTTGTTTTCATCATGTAAATTAAGAAAACAAAAAAATACCGAAGTGTCAACATAACCGGACTGTCAAAGGCATTACAACTACGGTAAAATATAGATAACAGATTTACATGGAAGTCCTTGAAAAAGTTTTAAAAAAGACCAGGTGTTCCGGAAGACAAGGGTAAAATGTGTAATGAAGTTGATGATATCTTGTATAATGAAATATATCACTTAATCTTTGCCAATGTTTTTCAATATACCGTGTACATATTTAAATAAAATTTACACTTTCCATTAAGCATGTGGCTTTTACTCTTTTACAAACAGGAGCAGGCATTTCTTCTGTCAAAGGAACGCAAGCGAAGCGAGGCTTTGTTGTATCAAATTTTTCCTGTTTCTATAGCAAAGAAACTGATGAGGAACGAACGGGTGGAACCACAGTTGTACAAATCCGCAACTGTGTTGTTCAGTGATATTGTCGGATTTACAAGTATTTGTTCCACATTTACACCATTTGAGGTCATGGATCTCCTTAATCTGCTTTACCGGACATTTGACGCCAAGTTAGGGAAATACGATGTGTACAAAGTGGATACGATAGGTAAGATTCCGTATATCCGTGAGGAGGCAGAAAACGGTAGTCTAGTGGTAGGACGCCGGGCTCGTGACCGAAGGCTCCGCTTGTTCCAGTCTACTCTGTTGTAAATGAGTATGTGGTTGGGCAGTGCTAGAACTGTTGAATTCTTCCTGGTACGTCATAAAGATAGAACAAATGAGCAATGAAAACACGAAATCTATATAAATCTGAATAATAATTACAATAAGTTTATATAATAATACTAATTATTTTGTGAATGACCCTAGCGACTAAACAACGACTGTTCTGAGTACATCTTGACTAAATTAGATGAACAGACCACATGGGCTTTGTGAACAATGTTTACTTGCCGAAATATACGCAATTTAAATTCCAATTTAATCTGCCTTGCTACTTCCAGTCGCCATTTTGTAAACAGGACCTAATCTCGAGCTGATGCGCGTTTGAAAGAGTTTAA